CAGGGGTGTCTGGCTGGCTCAGTGGGTGGAATATGACTCTTGATCTCGGGGTTGTGAGTTCAAGCCCTACAATGGGTGTAGAGATTACTTAAAAAAAAAATCTTAAAAAAAAAAAAACTATTTAAAAGTATGCTGAAGAAGTTTAGAAGGGAAGGTAATCCAACACTGAGCACTTGCTACCCATTTGTATACATTATCTCCATCTCAAATTCCTAAAAAGGGATTATTCCCATTTTACAGATCAGAAAACTGAGGTTTATGAGGTTAAAATAACTCACCTGAGGCCTTAAGACTAGTAAGTGTAGAAACTAGGAATAGCCCAGGTTTGTCTGACTCTTTCTTTATAATAAGTTGTCTCAGGGAGGGTGGGAGTTATTTTCAACCTTGTACAAGAAGATTTGCACTCCATTTGATTTCACTGCCATGTGATTCTAGGAAAGTCCATTTCCTTCTGGACCTTACTCTAGAGAGTTCAGATGAAGCTCATAATTGTTTTGTAACTCTGAGGTTCTAGCAATAAGAATATCTCCCATCCTTCTTGCCAGGATAAGGCATTAGAAGCAATTTCCATTTATCTCAGAGCAGACTAAGGAGTAACAAAAGCTCTTTGACTCTGGCGAGAGGATAAATCAACTAGGTCAGTGACACAAGAGCTCCAAGGTGACAGAACCCTGCTGCCTCCTATTTAAGAGATAAACCTGACTCATCCCTCAGTGATGTAATGGAAAGGGATGGACTGGGAGTCAAGAGATCTGAATCCTGCTCCCAGCCCTGCCAATGAGGTGTGCTGTGACCTTGGGTAAAAGCACTCCCTTTCCTGGGTCTCTAACCTATTGCTAAAAGAGAGGATCGGGCTAGCTAGGTCCTAATGTTCTTCAGCTCTAGTGTCTTGTCAATTTATGAAATCCTGTGTCCTGCTTCCACAAATCACTAACAAGGAAAAGTGGGAAATGAAAAGAATGATATTTTCCACGTTCCTAAATAGAGTCCATATGGTATGGGGGCTATGTGTATGTATTTGTAAACATCTGTTTATTCATCTTTATCTTCCTGTCACTATATATCCCCCCAAATTACGCTCATCCATTAGCAACTCTTTTATCTTCCCTAAAGGAGACTCAGCAATGAGTAATTCTACAACCAAAATACTAGTCCTCACCTGAAAAATTCTGCCCACACTCCCATTGGGCTTCACTTGGAAGTAGTGGCCTGCTGAACCTTCAGTGTCAATTCAGAGAAGCATTTTAAGTGAAGGCACCTGCTATCTTGACAGCTCTCCCTTAGTGATATACCTTAGAAGGAAATCTGAGTTTCCTCTTGTTGCTTTTAGAGACCAAGGCAAAGAAACCAAAATAACTTCAGGACTGAAACTGTTGAGTTTTAGAAAAGTACATGCGATGCTAAGAATGCTCTGGGCTCCCAAAGACCTCTATGTAGGGGTACCCCACAGCAGCAGTGGAGTACGGGAGAGAAAGATCTGCCACTTACTAGTTATGTGACCCTTCAGGAGAAGGACGTCTCTTTATCTCTCCAAACCTCGGTTTTTCCATCTGTAAAACTGGAATAATACCAGCAACCTCAAGGGTAATTTTTATAAAGTACATAGCATAATGAGGGCTCAGTAAATGTGAGATACATACTCAGATACTCAAAAGCACTTATACATAACCTTTTCACACACACAGATACCCACCCACATGCACACTCATATATACACCCTAAAAGACTGGTGTAAGGATAAGAGCTCACAAAGTACCTTGCACAGAGTCTAGCTCAATAAATGATCACTATTATGTACAAAAGTATGAACTCACTAATGCTCAAAATAGGAAAAACATTAGAGGTCACTTAGACTAGTGGTTCTCAAAGAGGTAACCTTGGGCCAGTCGCATGAGCATCAGCATCACCTGAGAACGTGTAAGAAATGCAAATTCTAGGCCCTCACTCAAGATCTCCTAAATCAGAAAAAATGGAGGTGGAGTTCAAAAATTTGTGTTTAAAAAGCCCCCCAGGTGATTCTGATGTACACTTCAGTTTTGAGAACCAGTGACTTAGATCAGGGTCTGACAAACTATTTTTATAAAGGACACATGATGAATGTTTTGGTTTTACGGTCTATGTCATAACTACTCTGCCAGTGTGAAAGCAGCCCTAGACTATATGTAAGTGAACAACCATGGCTCTGTTCCAATAAACAGGCAATGTGGTTTTAGAACTAAATATAGGTGGTAGTTGTACAACACTGTGAATGTATTAAATACCACTGAACTGTCTGCTTTAAAATGGTTAATTTTGTGGTTTGTGAATTTCACCCCAGTAAATTACTTTTAAAAAAACAAGCAGGCAGTCAGTGGAACTAGGCTCACAAGCAGTTTTCTTTTCTTTTTTTTTTTAAAGATTTATTTATTTGACAGAGAGAAACACAGCGAGAGAGGGAACACAAGCAGGGGGAGTGGGAGAGGGAGAAGCAGGCTTCCTGCTGAGCAGGGAGCCCGATGCGGGGCT